TTGTGGTGTATGTACATATCTGGTTTCAACTATACCTATGTGCATACCATTTACCTTTTTTACGTGGCCATGTTTTGCTGTTTCTGTGGACAAAATCTAGGAACAATTCAAGTTTTCTGTTTTTCATGTGGGAAGAATGTGCAGATCTTGGCACAAGCTCAAGACACTGGTAAGCAGTGATGGGTTAGTTACTTGTACAAATTAACTTTAATCGATTACTTATTACTACTTGAAAAAGTAGATTAGTGATTACTTTTTTTGGAAATTCTCTAAGTTACATATTTTTTTATTTTTCTCCACCACTTGTGAAAAGCTTGAACGTTGCAAATAATTAATTGCAAGTTATTTAATTATAGTAAGTATGTATCTCCGCTTATAAGGTTGAACTGAACGGGAGATTAATGGTTACAACAGCACGCACACACACACACTCACACACACGCCCACACACACATACACGTTTTTGCTACACCATTGGAACTCCTGAGAAATTAAAGGCTGATCGGTTCCACCATTTATGAAAGGTTTAAAAATGTAATTTTACTTGCCAAATTTATTTTTAATAATTATTTTAAAAAACATGATTTAAAATTTAAAAAACTCTCTTTTTGAAAATTTAACCTGATACCTTGTTTCCTCCTGGGGACCAAACATGTCGACAATATTACCAGAGCCAATGACAAATAACAAAACTTTATGGAAAGGTTTTAGTATGTCATATTTAAAGAAAGCAGTAAAGTAATGTTTCAGAAACTGATTCTATCAAAATGGTCTGCCGGATGAAAGTCAAAGTTGTTTAAATAAATGGTGCTGCTTGACTCTTGCTTAGGAATACTGAGAATGTTTAACAGTATAAATTTACAAGAGTCTTCACATTTGAGACAAGCAAAGTTATTCTATTGCTTACAAATTTAGCCACAGGGTTTTGTTCTAATTTCCATTCTGCTTACACAAATTGCCTTACATGCAGCAGATAACAAATGACACTTCAAATATGCCAATGACATGGCTCTGGTAGACCATCTAACTGAATCTCAGGCACTAAGGGGGTAACAGCAGGGTTTTCCCACCCTTATCTAAATCTTTGTTGAATGTGCATAAGAGCTCAACATTTAGATACACAGACCAAGCACCGGTGCAGTGCATATAAAGGAGGAAATGAGGAGCTTTTGTTCCACTCAGCATCTAGGTTCAACAGGTGGAATAGGTACTGTTTTAAGTATCTCACGTCAGCATCTGTCTACAAAAAAGTCCAGAAACATCTCCGTATGCCCAGCAACTGGAAAGCTTTTAATGTCAGCAAAGACAGAAAGGCCCATCATTACTGAAGAAAATTCCAAACCTATTGAACAAAATTAACAGAAATGTTTTCACAAAATATTTTGATTGATCAAAGTAAATGCAGAAGGAAATTTTCCTTTAACTAAACTTTGGTAAAAACTAAATAAAATCAGCAGCAGTCAAACATACTGTGATTGACATAAAAATAATAATGCTGTCTTAAACTGGAGCATCAAAAAGGTGTCAACATGTTCTGATTTATACAACTGAAATTTCAATA